AATATGAACACATTTGATTTAACATGGCAATTCAACTATCGGCACTTTAGATTTTGACATATTGTCCCGTAGATAAAATTGCGTATTGTGGAGGACTGTGGGTATGCGAAGAATAGGCAAACAGTATACACCCGTCTTCCAATATGACTCTAGCTTTACATCCAGAGTCTTTCTTCGAGCAGTAATAGTTGCGGGACATGTTCTTCTGGGAATATGTATAACCTCCGTACATTAGTAACTTCTTCTTGCCAGTCACCGTGGGTATGAATTTGAAGTCTCCGTATCCTAGATATAGTAAGTACGAATTAATTTACAAATTCGGGATTATATAATACTAGTGATCCACCACGACTTTGCGAGGCATCCGTATGTTACTCAAGGATAATGAAACCTAACGGTGATAAAATTATTTTTTATAATCGGACCTACATTTTGTTTTTATTCATTAAAAACGTACAAAATAGAAACCTTTTATTTTTATAATAAATATTAATTAGACTTAAATCTTGCACTGCTTTGCATTGAAATAGCACAGCCACACCGTTGAAATTATAATATTTAAATAGGGATATTTTTATTTAAAACCCATTATCGTAGTTCAAATAAAACTTACATGAGCTGTTCACAAATTTTATTCATTCATTTTGATATTATGCCGAGTAATTACGTAACTTATTATGAAATAATATTATAATAAGTGATTTTATTTAATTACTAATCAAATCGTCTATAACTCTTCTTTAGTAAGGTTGTGGAAAGAATGCTTGTATAAACAAAACTGATATAAGTAAATATTAAATCAAAAAGTTTATTAAGCGATATGATTTCTTAATTAAACTTCGCTTAGCTGTGCGGCTTGACGAATAGCCGCAACAATCGCGTCAGTCAGTCTGACATCCAGCTTTACATTTCATGTATTACAACGTCATTTTCTGCTACGCACTGTGCTGTATTTGATTTGACCCAGCCTTTTTAATGGAAAGTCAGGTAAGACATCCAACTGCCTCACCATTCAGACATACGAAGCCTAACAACTAACAACCAAGTCTAAAACGAAGAAATCAGCAAAATAAATTACCTCTGCCGGAGTGTCAATTAAATTTCAAATTGGTAGCGCTTATATTATGTATGACAGATATTTAAAAACATTCTCTGCTCAAACAACATTATCCAATCACAATATGTTAATATTTTGATTCCTGTATTGACTTTATTATAACGACTCGCTGAGCAAGCAAGTCAAGCGTTAAATTTGATATAACGACCAGAAGAAGATCTAATGTAATTCGGTGGGCTGTGGGAATGTTCATACTGGATACTGCCTAATTTTCCGTCCAGTCCCATCTTCACACGGGCCCGACAACCGGAGCATCTCTTGGAGCAGTAGAAGTTCATGCTTTTGTTATCCTTTGCGTAAGTATATCCGTCGACCATCAACAGGTGATTTCCCTTGGGTGTTGGTATCAACTGATATCCGAGAGTGCCTGAAAGTGAAACTTTTTAAATTTAAAATTATCCATACTAATTCTTTAAATGCGAATGTATAACCGTCTGTAAATCTGTCTGTAAATTAAACAAAAGTATGGACTAATAGTAATTTTATTGTACCTGGTTTTATTATAGTGCTGCATTACCCATTGCATTCAACTTGAAATCCATTTGTGATGAAATCAGATTAGCTGGGTTTACTCCTGAATTCCTCTTGGTTATAGAAGAGATAAATAAATATTTATTTTCTTGGATCAACATTTACCTACTTTATTTGATAGACTGATCACCAAAATGTTGGTCTACAACTCCTAATCAATAATATTATGGATGCCTACTACTGCACTCAGAGAAATCACCAGAAACAACTTTGAATTTTAATATATGCTGGTGCTGTAAATTTTTTTGTAAGACAAAAGATCAAGACATATAATATATCATAAAGCTTTGACTTAAACTGACGCCAGTGAGAGCCGCTAATAAACTTAAATTTGAAGTTTATTAAACAAATTTTGAAATTAAGAAATAACAATAATAGAGAACAATGACGTCTTTTAAATCACAGAAAAATGCTATGGCACATAGAGACTTCAGTTTAGAAAAAATATATTTTAGTATAATGAACTTTGACGACCTCCATGGCCGAGTGGTTTTTATGCCGGGTTTCATGGTGTCGCCGACTCGAGAGGTCCCGGGTTCGAATCCCGGTGGGGTCAGAGGTTTGTATGATGAATGCATTTGTACTCCAGTCATGGATGTTTAATATATATTTCTATATAAATATACTAATATATATGTACAGTATATGTATTCTGTCCGTTACCTTAGTATCCCATAACACAAGCCATACAGTGCTTACTTTGGGGCTAGGCTAATTGGTGTGAATGTTGCAAATATTTACTTATTTTATTTATGAACTCATTTTAGTCGGTCGGTTCTAGCAACCGCCCACGATTTAAATGAGTATTCTAAACTAGTTTTTTAACAATTCCCCAGAAACCTAACATTTTTCGTGATCAAAAGTATCATATGTCTCAATCCAGGCATATGTGTGCTAAATTTCATCCAAATCTGTTCAGGCGTTTTGCGTGATTGAGTACCAACCATACAAAGATACACATTTACAAACTTTTACATTTATAATATTAGTATGATTAAGTTATAGATATTTTTTTTTAAATCCTGTGAAGTTTGAAAATTTACCTACCTAATTAATTCCATTCCATACATTGACCACAGTACTCCAAGCACGAATAACTAGCAGGAAAGCCTTTGTATCACTATGTCAAAGTTTCTACAGAAGCTAAGCAGTGCCTCTACCAGATATAAGAACAAACTAGCTCTTTCTATAGACACTTTGACGTTCGCAATACAAATACTTTCTCGCTTTGTTTGTGCTTGGGGTGCTGGTTATAATAATTAGCGACAAGAGAATACATATTATTTTTTCTTAATAATTGGATATTATGGCATTTAATTTACAGCTTATAGTTTAGTTTTCAGAGCATGATAACGTTTTTCTTATAATTTATAATTTGTATATTCATTAGTCCATTGATGTTTTTTTTTCAGCCAATTTAATAAAAAAATATTTAGCAAGGTATTGGTGTTCATTCAGGCATGATTCTCTAAAGTTAAACTTAAATTTGACAACAGTGTAACATTGTCATTCTCTTTACAGAATGAAAAGGACAGACTGATGTTAAATTTAGTTTTAAGTTTAGAGATTTCTGCCAGAATCGGCACCATTATTGCGTCTCTTACACTTATTTACTTTGCTGCATCATGATTGTGAGTAGTTGATGCAGATATTATATAATTATGATCATGTGTCATTTTTATGTAAGCCAAACATCTTTTCTTGTTTCTTTTTGAACAGTACCAAAGAATTGTGCTTTTGTTTCTGTCATCCTTCCAATATGTATATCCATCTAGTTGTAGCAGATAGCTTTTTCTTGCAGGTATAAACACTACACGGCTTTGAATGAGGGCTGCAAACCAGAAATATTTAGGAAAATTCATACCATTGAATTAAAACATTTTCCACTAGTTTTTCCATTCTTAAAAAAAGGATTACTCTAATCAACACACCTCTTGTCTGCTAGCATACAAACTCCAGGTTATATTTTTGAGCAGAATCATTCTTCATTATTTTTTTAAACACTGCATAAAAAGAGTAGAAGAGGGAACCTGCTAGCTAATGTCATTGTCAAAATTTCATCAAAATACTGGGCTCAGTGTGTTCAACTACAGGAATTATAAAACCAGAATAAAACAGTTTTATGCAGATAAAAAAACCTCTGTTTATTGTTTCATAATGATCATATGCTTATTAAAATAATAATAAAAAGTAAGGGGTTTATTAGGCATGCCTAAAAAAAATTTTCAGTTATATTTTTTTTTTTAATAATATTTACTTACATTGTTTTCGTAATATTTGTCCTTCCTGGGAAAATTCTAAAAGGCATATTGGGTTTGGCATATTGGATTCACATTGGGTTATACTTTTACAGATTCCCTCAAATCTGTTAATTGTCAATGTCACTGTTAAACATTTGACTTAAATTTATTTGTTTGACAATTAAATATAAGACAGCTGTTATTTCCATGACATTGAACATTTAGGGATTCGAGGGAATCGGTTAATGTACCTGTGTCTTATAAAAGCAATCGCATATTTAACTAAAGGAGAACATTTTGCAAATAATGTATTTAATCAAAAGCATAATATGAGTATAGAAAACATATTTACAGTAATTGAGGAAAAACTTTTTAAATGGGTATAAGCTTCAATTAAATTTTTTTTTCTTTATTCTTGAAATTTTAGGCATTTAATTGGCTCATTAATGGCAAAACTGGTCAAGAATAATATAAAATAATATGCATCAAGCTTTAAACTCATTCAAAAATAAATAAATAATAAATAGTTTTATATTAATAGAAACTTTGTTAACGCTATAAATATTTTCTTTACACTTACGTATGTAAGTACAAAATTGTATCTTGAGTGTGATGTAACAAAGCAGTAAATCCAATTCCATAATAAATCATCCAGACTGTTACAAGGGCATCTCAACAATAAAAACCAAGCTACTTCCTTACATTTGTACTTGATAGCGTTTATTTATTATAAATAAAAACTTGTCTTTCAAACGTTAAATAAAAACAAGTACATACCTACCTTAATTTGTCAAGGACTCAAATGATAATTTTACTAACGATCATTGCAACAATACAACAAATAGAAAAAAATTTCAACAACAAAGCAGCATAAACTTCAAGTAGGTAATATAAAAATCTCAGCTGTCTACCTGTTTCCATATACCCTGCTGACCAACGAACAGGCAAGTTCAATATTATGGGTAATGTCATCATAAGAGAACGATACCTCGAAAAAAACAGCAGCAACATTTAAACTAAATACTTATTTATAAGCTTGTTTTATTAATTTTATGAAGTTTATGCCGCCAAAAATGCTGTTGTTGATAAACTGGGAATAGCAGTGGACTCACCAACTCGTCGATTTTCACCCGACTAACAATTATCTTGAAACCATCACTTTATATATTATTACACTACACTTCAAACCACACAACAATTCAAATAGAATTAAGTTAAAACACAAAAAAGAACAAACACAACACATTTTTAGGTTATGTTATTATCGCAAAAAATCAAAACAAAGGCACTGCACCCATAGTGTGTTAAAATAAATTCAGTTTTAAATACACACGCGAAAACCAATTTAAATAGGTATTTCGTTTATCGTAAACAATGTTTATAAACGAAAGCAACTCGATTTTGACATTAGAAATATGTTTACAAAACTGACTCTAACTTAATGACGTAACGAACCAAACGAAAACGATTTACGCAGCGTTTTGTTTCTACTATGTTTGAATGTATAGGGTGAAGGTGAATTGAAAATCAACAATAATATTTATACAGAAATAACTAACACTTGAGGACCTAATGGCTAATGGGTCAAACGGATCAGGTACTTCGTATTATGCTGTATTTAACTTTTATGGCTCCTCTACACCATTGGCCATGATGGACGATCAAAAGATTGGCCATGATATTGATAATTTTTTCTGTCCAATAAAAAGTTGTAGATTCACTTTATTAATTCGTTAGGGATACCTAAGGACATCAATTCTCTATAAAGCACATTTATATTTACACTAACAAATGCTCTAGCAACATCAAAGAACAGCCGCAAGGATTTTTTTATTATTCAGAGAATTAAAAATATCACGATGGAGCTGAGAAATGCTTTCCCTTGCACAACGACCTCTTCTAAAACCAAATTTATTTGATGGCAATAACTTATTTTGCTCATTATAAAACTCTAAACGTTGCTTTAGAAATTGCTTGAAAATTTTACTAATACCTGATGTTAATGCAATAGGACGATAGGAATCAGGATTCGCTTTTAGTTTATTAGGCTTTAATATGGTATGGTACTAAAGAATCAGTTTTCCAGCTTTTAGGTATTTCATTATGGCCCCAGAGATAGTTTAAAATATTCACAAATGTTTGTAAACAAGAAGTATTTAATTTTTGAAGTGAAAACTTCTTTAGCGGCGTTGTACACTTTTTTTTGTATGGGTAAAAAATGTTAAACTCGAGTCAGGTAAAACACGTGGGCTGATCGCATCATGACACACAATTAAATTGGAAAGGTTGTTGACTTTCAATATATTGGACGAAACATAGTAATATTTTATTTTATCGGATTATAATAATAAATTTCTATCTAGGACAGTTCAGAGGGGACACCTTTCGACCGCAGAAATAATACATATATTTACAGAATAAAGAATATACAACTAACGGTGGATATTCATCATAAATAAAGTTGGATAAAAAGGTCTGTACAGTATTTACATATTTGTCCTAGTCTATTGACTTATATATTTATATGAAAAGATAATGGTCCCACATTAAAAATACATTCGTATGTATTTTTATTTGATATAGCAATCTTTATTACGACAGGTAAATGATAGCTGCCAAGGGGCTCATCGTGCACTGACCAGTCACATGAAAAGGCCAATGATGAAGAAGCCATTGATAAATCATGGGCATTCGGATGTCAAGACATAGATCCAACAGTAGTTACCTGGCCATTATTTAATAATACCAAATCATTACTATCAATCACTTCCAAAATATCTCTACCACGTGGAGAGTCGGAGTTACCTCAAAAAGTTTGGCGGGCGTTGAAATCGCCCCCAATAACCAAAGGACTAAAGCATCAAATTTACTTTTATTATATGGAGTGCCAGACAAAACAGTATAATAACAACTGACAAAGCTTATCGCTTTATTATTGAAAATTATTCGAACGCAAATATTTTGTAAAGCATCATCAAAATGAGTAGAAATTGAGCGTTTTCCATTTAGAAAAAAAAAGTCGACACTGTGTTGCACTGTGTGTGTTACCAATGAAAAGTATTGGTAACGGTAACAGTGTTACCAATGAAAAGTATTGGTAACAGTACAGTATTGGTAACGGTAACAGTGTTACCAATGAAAAGTATTGAAGTTACCAAGCTTTAGTTGGCATTAGGTTTTTGCTATAGTATCGTCGACACAGTGCAACACAGTGTCGACTTTTTTTCTAAATGGAAAACGCTCATTGTTTTGTATTCGATTGTATTGTGTTTTAAAATTGCAACACCGTTACGGTTGTTGCAGCAATCATTTCTAACAGTACTGTATTTTTTTATATATTTAGATTAGGTTTTAACCAGGTTTCTGATAAAAGGGCTACATGTATATTAGATTCAAACAAAAAATGTTCCATCATAAGCCTATTCGCTACACTTTGGAGTTTGGACATTCCAATGAATAACATGTAGCGTATCTGTCGTATCTTCCATTAGAGAGAAGCAGGTTTACATGTATTTTCGAAACTATTATTCAATACATTGCGTATATTGTTAGAATTAATCGGCGTATTTTTATTTGTAATTATTAAATGGGTAACAGCACTTATAAGTAAATCAATAAATCGATCAGATTTAGCTAAATTTTTAAGTTAAAGTAAGTACGTTTCAAAATTACGAGCGCTGAGTTGTGGGAAAGCTTTTTCACTTAACAATTCCGAGTATTTTGCTGTATGTGTTTTCATTTAATTAATGATCTTGCGTATTTGATAAAACTGGTTGGAATACCGTCCCATCCCGGGGCACTGCTATATTTTAAGGACTGTATTATATCACTTACCTCAGCATGATCAGTGTCCATAAGAACAAAGGAGTTACACTGTTTTGGTAAGTTACTCAAATAGCTACTACTTTCCACATCTGAGGGCCGAATTTGATGCGCCAAGTTTTTACCAATATTTACAAAGAAATCATTAAATTAATTGGCAGAAGCTGCAGGAGTAGATTTAATATTAAGTAAATCAGAGTTTATTTTATTAATTTTACTTGTACATGTGATGTTTCTGATGTTTCTCCACAGCAACTTATTATCATTAATAGATTTATTCAATAATTCTCTCTCATACTGGCGTTTGATTTTTTTAAGAAGAGCATTACAATAATTTCTGTATCTTGTATAAATAATTTTATTTGTTTCATTAAAAGGATCATCTTTTACTTTTTAAACAGAAACAAAATAAGACTGTATAGTGTGTCTTATTAATTACCTATTGCACTTGAATGAACTGCTAGTATCAAAATCATTTTGGTCCGACTGTAGAGGGTTGCTACATGCATACTACTGGCGCCATCATTAAAATTTAATGTCACGACTTTATAGACAAACTGTACGCGTGTTTACCTACATACATGGCGGACGCAGGATGTCTTTAGTCGATACTTTTTATCGATGTTATGTTTTATTTGCTGTGGTCAAAGCATATAGTGTCAATCAAATATACTGGAGAAAAGGGTTGAAGAAAGAGAATCTATTTGAATTTCGGAAATAATTTTATTGAACTTAAGTTAAATTCTACCACTGTTTAGTACAAGCACAGCAAAAAGAAATCGCTTAGTAAATTTCATAAACCTTTTCGTTATTCGTCTGCATGTGCACATTATGAGAAAGGCTGGTGCTTATTAACTTTAATAAAACACTGGTGTCGATTCTGACGTGATTCTCTAAATCTAAACTAAATTAAACATTAGTCTCTCGTTTTCATTCTGTATAGCGAATGACAAGGATACACTGTTGTCAAATTTAAGTTTAGGTTTAGAGAATCATGCCAGAATCGACACCATTATTACAATATGAAACTAAAAGTAACTCAAAGACATATTGATGATATATTATTTAAAATAAAATATAAACATTTATTTCAGATGTTAAAATTCAAAAAAATCAATATTAATTTATTCCGCTTAGGCTTTTACAAGCACATATGGAAGTCGAAAGCTACGCCGTCGGGTCGCAAATCTACGGCGGGAGACCTTGTATACTGAGAAGAACGGACAAGAAGTGTCGTGAAATTGAAAGCTGACATCAAAATTATAAACATGTATTGAGGTCAACTTCCAACACATAATGTAAAATAGGAAAACATAAATATACAAAAGCCACGAAATATCCAGTAAACATTTTTCAAAATACAAGTATATAACAGACACAATGTCCAAGGTTCACTACAATACTCCTCCACCTACAAGAATTAAATACTGTAATTAAAATATATATATGGCTGTTTAAGATTCATTTAAGCAGGATGGTTGACAGGCCTGAAACAAAAAACAAAACAAAATTATTCGTTTCTAAGTTTTCACGCACACCACTCAATAAATGAAATAAGTTTTGAACGAGTATCAATGGGTTTTTAATACTTTTTCTCTGTATTTTTTGCGTTTCACATGTTTTTCAGGATGCATAGAAAATATAGCAAGGTATTTCGGGTACAGTTCCAGTTCGCTAAGGAGCTGTGGTATCACTGCATACAATTTTTGAAACCCATTTAAGTATTATATTTATATTTTGGTTATTGCATGTGTATATTTCATAATTTTGTAAAAACTATAAAATATAAAAACTATATCTACCGAATAAACGGTTTTTTGAGACCCAGATGTCTGTACTATGGTACCTTTACTAGACGCTAAGTTTTATATTTTATAGTTTTTTTACAAAATTAATAAATATACACATGCAATAACCAAAATATACTTTACTTACCATTTCATGAATATTATGTGTATCCATTAGTGCAAGTCTTGTGCTTGAGTTACTAGAATATCTTAGAGTAACAAATTTGTAATAGCTTTTCTATTAGATTTTGGTTAAGGAAAGTTAAAGTTATAATTTTTATTATTTTTAAAGCATGTAACTGCTTGATGTTTAAATCTAAAGAAAATATAACTAGAAAAAATTCCACGCGGACCAGGCAGCAGACGGGACTTGAACCCGCACCCTTCGCAATCCGGGCGAATGCACTGACCAATTATGCTACCGCGGCCCTCACGGACCGCGTCGAAATTCCTTCTAGCTATTCTTAAGCTGCAAGGCAGCGCCATCTCTTCGCATTATAGGTAAACCCACAATGTCAAATGAATACTTTTACAAGTATTAAACATTTGAAAGAAGAAATAGCAATTATAGTTATAATTTTTATTATTTTTAAAGCATGTAACTGCTTGATGTTTAAATCTAAAGAAAATATAACTAGAAAAAATTCCACGCGGACCAGGCAGCAGACGGGACTCGAACCCGCACCCTTCGCAATCCGGGCGAATGCACTGACCAATTATGCTACCGCGGCCCTCACGGACCGCGTCGAAATTCCTTCTAGCTATTCTTAAGCTGCAAGGCAGCGCCATCTCTTCGCATTATAGGTAAACCCACAATGTCAAATGAATACTTTTACAAGTATTAAACATTTGAAAGAAGAAATAGCAATTATAGTTATAATTTTTATTATTTTTGAAGCATGTAACTGCTTGATGTTTAAATCTAAAGAAAATATAACTAGAAAAAATTCCACGCGGACCAGGCAGCAGACGGGACTCGAACCCGCACGCACCCTTCGCAATCCGGGCGAATGCACTGACCAATTATGCTACCGCGGCCCTCACGGACCGCGTCGAAATTCCTTCTAGCTATTCTTAAGCTGCAAGGCAGCGCCATCTCTTCGCATTATAGGTAAACCCACAATGTCAAATGAATACTTTTACAAGTATTAAACATTTGAAAGAAGAAATAGCAATTATAGTTATAATTTTTATTATTTTTGAAGCATGTAACTGCTTGATGTTTAAATCTAAAGAAAATATAACTAGAAAAAAATTCCACGCGGGCCAGGCAGCAGACGGGACTCGAACCCGCACCCTTCGCAATCCGGGCGAATGCACTGACCGCGTGGAATTTTTTCTAGTTATATTTTCTTTAGATTTAAACATCAAGCAGTTACATGCTTTAAAAATAATAAAAATTATAACTATAATTGCTATTTCTTCTTTCAAATGTTTAATACTTGTAAAAGTATTCATTTGACATTGTGGGTTTACCTATAATGCGAAGAGATGGCGCTGCCTTGCAGCTTAAGAATAGCTAGAAGGAATTTCGACGCGGTCCGTGAGGGCCGCGGTAGCATAATTGGTCAGTGCATTCGCCCGGATTGCGAAGGGTGCGGGTTCGAGTCCCGTCTGCTGCCTGGTCCGCGTGGAATTTTTTTCTAGTTATATTTTCTTTAGATTTAAACATCAAGCAGTTACATGCTTTAAAAATAATAAAAATTATAACTATAATTGCTATTTCTTCTTTCAAATGTTTAATACTTGTAAAAGTATTCATTTGACATTGTGGGTTTACCTATAATGCGAAGAGATGGCGCTGCCTTGCAGCTTAAGAATAGCTAGAAGGAATTTCGACGCGGTCCGTGAGGGCCGCGGTAGCATAATTGGTCAGTGCATTCGCCCGGATTGCGAAGGGTGCGGGTTCGAGTCCCGTCTGCTGCCTGGTCCGCGTGGAATTTTTTCTAGTTATATTTTCTTTAGATTTAAACATCAAGCAGTTACATGCTTTAAAAATAATAAAAATTATAACTATAATTGCTATTTCTTCTTTCAAATGTTTAATACTTGTAAAAGTATTCATTTGACATTGTGGGTTTACCTATAATGCGAAGAGATGGCGCTGCCTTGCAGCTTAAGAATAGCTAGAAGGAATTTCGACGCGGTCCGCGAGGGCCGCGGTAGCATAATTGGTCAAAGTCAAAGTTATTTTGGAAGTTATTTTAGTTTATTGTTTTTCATAATTTGAATGAATTCGTAAGGTTAATACACTGTTGCTATTTATTAGTACAAAGTGAATAAGCTTGTCTCTGAAAATATTGTCTGCACTGCGTCATCTTTTAACCTTAATATGTTAAGAGTTTTATTAAAGCAACTCTCCTGAAAGTGCAATGAGCATACAATTATATTCTTAGTGCCTGGCCGACTGTTCTCCTGCCCAATCGCATCTAACCATTTCCTTTTTCTATTTGCTTATTGAGGCAAACTAAAAAAAATGGCAAATAAAATATCGAAGAGGTGGGTACAACACTAGCGTTGCTAGATTACTATTGTAAACTACATGAAAAATGGTTGAAAGGCAACAGGCTGTGGTTCCTGTAGCCTTTAGTATCTTAAGCTGTTTTTTTAATGTAGTTTCATAACAACTCCTTGTAAAAATAGCAATTTCTAGTTAAATTTTAGTTTTGACACAGGCCACAATCAATCACAGAACACTTATATTTATGTTTAAATCCTAAATTTAATTATTTTCACGGTTTTATTCCTCCAATGAGAATCACGTCCACAACTTTGAGTTTATTTGTAAACAAACTAGGGAACCACAGATTACTTATGGGGAACTAAGATGGCGACACTAGCACTATTCTATGATAGATATAGATTGTCACTACAGTAGCGGATATTGCGAAATAGAGTGCTGGTATCATTTTCATATGCATCAATAGGAGTGTAAAAAGGAGACAACACTATACTTGTAATTTCTATACAGTCTGTGCGGCAAGAGAATGGGATTTAGATTGGAGGGCGCTGTAGTGCTTCTCTACCGTATTTGTAAGGTTTTACCCCTTTTAGACATGATTAAATACAACAACAAACAAATCCGTATCAATACAAAACTTTGACGTTTTACAGATTGCTGGGTTTGATTGCCAAATAAAAGTCTTAATGTTAGTTCCGTTTTTCTCCACGCCCATTCTCTTTTCGCACAGACTCTACCAAATTACAATGTAGCTACGTATGTATATGTTTTCGTGTCATTTCCATATGATACTTATTCCGAGGTCAAAATGACATCCAAAGATGTCAAAGGGCAACGCTGTTGAAATGCTCCGTCCTTCTAATACTATGTCTATGGTACACCCAGCCTTAAAGAACCAGTACGCAAACCATAAATGTTAAGAAAAATTAGATAGTGTTTGACATTTAACTCATATACAATATTAGTCTATGTTTATCTCTAACCTTTTCAGAGTGCCTTCTTGTTAATGCTAAAGTTGTGAAATCCCCGCTTTTTTTAATTCTTTATAATTATTTTGTTTTATCTAATGTGCCTTAAAAATTACATTTGTTAGTCCTGTATTCATTTATTTCTAAAAGTGCGAAAATAAGTTTTATAAATTGTGAATGCTGTACTAAGGCTGTGTTGTTTACTAATATTTCTACAATTTGTGTGTTGTCAAAATTTTGTTATTTTTAGTTCGATTCCAAATTCCTTTAATCCAGGTAAGATTGACATTAAATTTTTTAGAATATTATATTTTATTCCTTGTTTGTTTACAAACTGTTATTTGTAAACATAATGCTTATCAGTCATGTGTCTTTAAAAATCATTGACCTGCCAGCATAAAACTATCTTGATTACAGTAATATTATACTGTTTGGTAATACATTGGGCCTGATTCTGGCATGATTATCTAATAATAAAACTACGAATGGCCCAGACTGCTCCACCAGTTAATCATTGATCAAGATACACTGACTTTTTGAGTTGTCAGAGTCAACAGCTTGAAGCTGCCAATAATAACAACTCGGAGCAGTTCATGGTAATTGCTGAGGATGTTTGTGTGGTGCAATGAAATCATTGAAAATTTATTGTATTGATAAAGCATATTTAGAGAAAGAGGCTGGTAAATCCTTTTATAGCGAAACACTGATGCTTGGACAGTTCCATACCTTATATGAACATTTATTTGCAAATCCAGATATATTTGAAAAGAGCTTCCATTTCCCATTACATGTTTCTGTGAATTAAAGAGTTGGTAAAACCTTTTATTAATAAATTTATCACTGACTAGCAAACCCCGCGAACTCCGTTTCGCCACCAGATGGCTTCGTTTTATGTAACATTTCGTTTGGCGATTAAAAGAAGTTTTTTTTAATTTTTCCTGAATTTTCTTTGCTATAAACCTCACGGAGCCCGAGACCTTTCCAACGAATGCAAAACAGTGGAAATCGGTTCGTGCGTTCTGGAGTTATAGCGTCAGGAAGGAAAACCCGACTTATTTTTATATAGTAGATAATTAGGGCCTGGATTAATATGTAAATACATATTTATAATTTACACGATTTTCTGGTCTTGTACCTATGTGTACTCTACCTAGATTATCATAATTATATACACTGAAAACAAATTTTTATTTTCCATATTTCATGGTTTAGTACATATTTTACAAAAAAAAATTCACAATCATCCATATTTTTGATTTTTATATCATGAAACATGTTCACAAAAATTTATATAATTTTTAGTGTTTGCATTCTTGCCACCAGACAGCTGCACATGTTACATTTCTCTAGTTTTTTTTTTGTCGTAATTAGTTTTTTGATTCTCTAAATTCATTTATTCCACATTGTCTACCCCCGTGCCGCAGCGCTGCGGTACTAGTGGTTAAGTACGCTCCTATTACATCATGTGATGAGGAAAGATCTTTAAGCCAATAAAAGGCTATATTTAGACCAAATAGACAAAGTTTTAATTGTGTAATGCTGTCAATTTAATAAGAAAGATTTCCTCTAAATCTTTCTTATTAAGATTAATAAATCTTAATTTTTTATTTGAATTACCTGAATATTTCGCTGTGTTTTTATTATATTTTTAATGTAATTGTTACTGCATAGTAATTCTTCTCAATAAGCAATGTTTAATATGAAAGATATTCTTATTTTATACTTCATTTTTTTTCCATATTTTACATTTTTTGTCCATATTATATGTACATATTTTGATTTTTGAACACATTTATCTGTGCCCAACTGATAATGAACCAAAAAATCTTAGTTGTTTTATGTTTTTATTGCTGTTATTAGCATCAGAACTGGAAATTGGACTTTAGTATGTCCTTTACATTCTTTATAGAGAAGTTCTTGTCATATTTAGTTTTAAGTTTGGAGAATTATTTCAGAATTAGGCCCTATATAAAAAATATCAATATGATTTCTAAGTAAAATTATCATTTAAATGATGTTTTCCTTGTTTACAGGTAACAAATACTTCTGGAGATATTCTTCTTGGTAAGTCAAGTTTGTTCATTATGCCATTAAAATATAACGCAACAGCTTCTCAGCAACAAAAATACACTTTTGGTCTAAGATTGTGAACATTTTACTTGTCTCATATTTTTAATATACAGTAGCAAACCCATAACGACATGACTTTGAATGTTATGTACGCATTAGACATAAGTAGTCATATTTACTGTCGTATATAGTTTGGGTATAGGTAATTCATACAATGAACTTGTTTTCAAAAATAAAATTTCGAAAAGAGAAATAATAAAGTTTAATATGAGTTAATTTTAAGTACCTCTAATACCTACAATATTTTTTGTTTATCTAAAACAAGTAAAATGGTTGGTCATTATAGCTGATGAATATCGATATGAACTTTATCCATATTCATCGGCTATAAGCTGTTATAAGCGATATGTCGCTGTATCTAGCGCTGTTATAGGCGGTTTGTTTACTTAATAATTTTTAAATGGTGTCGGCTGGGACTAGGGTTACCATCCGTCCGGATTTGTCTGGACATTTCCGGACTTTTTGCCTTTTGTCTGGACTTTGTCCGGCTTTTTAATTTGTGATTTTTTTCAATAGCTGGAATATGAGGAAAGCTACTTATTAAGTTATATCAACTAAGTAAAATAATCTTTATTAAGTTCTCATTTATTTAATACAAAATATAAATCATGTTTATAAATCAAAAACGAGCCCCCGTCGCGATGCGAGCGTCTGCTACGACGCGTATAATATCACAGTAACTAAGTAGGTGATGTTTGCATTTTGTGACTAAAATGTCCGGACTTATATCGAAATGTCTGGCTTTTTGTCAGGACTTTCCAATTTTTTAAATAGTAACCCTAGCTGGGACCTTGCTAATTGGTCATAATAACCGACCCGTCGTCGCTCGTTACAAACGATGTTGTTATACATGTTCGGTTTTGACTGTATGTAACAAATTGCATTCTTTACAATAAAATTATCAAGAATAAAATGATTTAATTCAAAAAGATAAACTTTTTGTTATAATGTGATGCAAAATTTCTATCAAAAAGGAATTATAATGAAGAATAGTAGTTGTTTATTTTTTGAACTATACTGAGGCTGCAAACTTCACAACAGCAGCATGTTTGTAGGCATATAAAAATTATTTAAATGCTGTAAAAATGTGTTTTTTGCTTTAAAACTTTTACTATAAACTTATAACGTCGTTACACAATTTATATAATATAAAAGATTTTTCAAAACCTTTCCGCCCAACGGCAATCCTTCGAGCGATAACGGTTGCTTTGTTTTCTCCTACGGATTTCCTCATTTCTGATTATATGACGTAGGGAAATACCGAGCACCTCTCCATTGCTCATTGCGTGACGAGCGTTGACGGCAGTAAAGGGCTTCTATTATACATCAAGAAAATAACGCACACCTGTCTTTTGTGCGTAATTTTCAAACAGTCGTGATTCGACCGCGCTTTAATTGTAACGATTACAAGTTTGGCACTATGGTACAGCTAATTCGGGTGGATTGCGCGATTTTTTTGCTTAATACCCTTGGAATCAGATTTCAGGGGCTCCTAACACCAACGCGGAGCTTGTCGCCGCTGTAATTCTGCAGGGTATGGAATGTTTCATTCCGAATTCTTTGGTCGGACTAGGCGGCTGAACTCGGTCTTGGTTTGGCAAACCTTTAGCCAGGCTACTAAGGCTAAGAGAGTTCTCTACACAGACGGCTGCCGCTGTGACAAATAAGTCAAAAATATAGGGTGAAATTGAATGTTTTAATGAAACTTCGTGAGATTGTTGGGTTACGAGTATAGAGTATGCCTGATTTTTTCGGATTTTTTTGAAGTATTTTTTTTTCATGTATTTATTTATAATTTGTGTATTTTTTTTTTCCTTTCGTCCTTTTGAGTAGTTATTCATATTAAACAAACATGCTTACATATCCAGTGAAAAACAACTAATAAATAAGCACTTCTAAAAAACGGAAATACAGTAAAATTCCACCGCGGGTCAACGACCGACCGCGCCCGCCAGCCGTTGAGTGAGTAGGTACGTACACAGAGCTCAGCTGACTCGTTTGATTCCACACAATACAATAAAATCGTCTCAGATGCCTTTATTGAAATTGAAATAATAAGCACAAATATCATCTTCTCTTAAGCAGAGAAAAACTTAAAAAGTTAATAATAATTTTGTCACGATTGGAAATAGGCAAAAGTTAAACAAAAAGAAATACTTATTGCAGTTCAATACTTGGGTCAGAATGAAATTTATTACCAGGTATTCAAAAGTACTTACGAGACCGATGTACCTATTAATTTTTTTCTCTATAACTTCCCAATAAATCACCAAACCTACTTTCGTAAAGCCTTGTGGCTCTGCTGAGTATTCCGTGACACTCGCAATAACAACACACCATATCCAAATTCTTATATTGAGGGCACAGAACAAGAACTAATCAAGGCATTATTTGCAAATCTTGTCTTGTCACAAAGGAGATTGGTCAAATTGGCCTAAATGCAAATAAAATATTGACATATACAGTAATTCTTGGCGTAATTTATACTTTATTTTACAGTCATTAGATTTTAACGGCCACCTTTAAATAATATATTAATTTTAAAAAAGGACTTCTATTTTTACCGGTTTGGAAAACATACGAATCATTTTTATTGGCTATGGGTGTAGTAACATTCACAAAGACTGATCGAGGTTGTTTATATAACATCAAAACAAATCTATTTTGTAAAGATTGATAAAAATTTTTTTTTTTATTACACGGGTGGTATTAATATCCACAACTTTATTATCATTTTTACTACATGCAAATGTGCTAAGACAATTAATATAGATGGTAGGCGACATCATAAAGTCTATTGCCGTACATTTTTTGCCAAACACCTAAATAAACACATTATAAGATGTGATACACTAAAAATCTAAAATATGGTTATAATAAAAACATAACAAAAATAATGAAGCTGCTGAAGATATGGCTGTATAACCTACAGCTCTTAGCTTTCTTTGATTAACGAGAGTTTAAAAATTCTCTCTAATCTGTGGCTCATTCACAATCATCACACAGTTTCTGTTCGTGTTTTTAAAAACATGCACATATCTGTTATTTTACATGCTCTATATACCTGAATCTAATACATAATATCGGTAGGTACTTGGCTTGATTGCCCTATTTTCCTATATAAGTTATTTGGTTTTTATTATTCTAATACCTATGTGCCTATTTGCAAACATAACATCAAAATCATTCAGTGTATATGGTTTATAGAAGTTCTCAGGAGTGGCCGTCGATAATATTCGTTTCTACGGTAATTTATATATAATTTCGAATGTAGGAAACAATTTTTCATGGTTATTGGTTTTTAGGCCAAACATGTATGGAAGCTGAGCAATCTCCTTTAAAAGATACGCACGCGCGCTTGAGACTCCGCTCGCTCACTGCGCTGTGCACCGCGCATACCTAGATAGGTAGGCAGGAAGGTATTCAACGGCGGGAGCGGTCATTGCTCCCGGCCGCCCGTCTCCTGTTTTTATGTCTTTTTTAGTAGTGCTTATTACTTGTTTTTTACTTACTCTGTATGCATGTTTTAAAAGAATAATTATTTAGTACCCAAAAGGAGGAAAGGACTTAAAATATAACAAAAAAAAAACAAAATTTTATTTTAAATCATTTTTTAAAAAATCCGAAAAAATTCAGTGATACTCTATATACGTAACCCAACATTCCCACGAAGTTTCATTAAAACATTCAATTTCACCCTGTATAGATTATAATAAATCTAACTCGAAGAAGCGGTATAACGCTGCTTCAAGGTCCTTTAAAAAGCAAATAAATCAGGCAAAATTCGAACATGATTGGCATTCTGGTCGGTCGCCAAGGTTGTGCAAGGCAATTTTTGTCGGTCATTGTTGCGACCTTCACGTAAGCCAGACGATTTTCTAGCCCACACAACAAAATTATCTTTTGCGGTGTGGGCTAGAGAATCATGATGCTGATCTCTTGGGCACACTCTTCATCGAATTTGACTCTAGATGACGGGGAAATTATATCACTACATTGGAATAATTGCACGGTGCAAGAACACCATGCCTGATATCTGCGTTACTCAAAGCGCTATGCTACGAGCTATTCTTTCTCTCGATATCCGAAAGTCTAATGGGCCTGATGTAATCCCAGCTATCGTACTGAAGTCGTGTACTCCAGAGCTTTCTCAATTGCTGACGCGTCTTTACTCTTACTCCTATGCCGCTGGCATAGTCCCGTCTTCGTGGATGGTAGCCTTAGTGCTATCCATCTCTAAGAAGGGTGATGGTTCAGATCCATCAAACTACCAACCAGTTCCTGTTCCTGTTGTCTTAGGGTAATGGAGCGCATCATCATGCAATGAATGAAGTGCAATCCCAAGATCGTTTGGAAGGAAAAACCAAACTAGCTTGCAAAAAGTTTGGGGTCCTCAATAGAGCGAGAGAGTATTTCAAGCCTAAACACCACATATGGAGTACTACTCTCACTTTTGGAGCACCCCAATACTAGCTCCTTCCTCTCAATCGGATTCATAGGCGGGTGGTTCGACCTATCGATGATCCTGAGTTCACTGACATGTAGCACACCTAAGCTTGCGTAGAGACGTATTTGTGCATGTTTATCGTATGTACATACAATGGAGAGTGTTTCGAGGAATTACTCAATCTGGTTCCATCGGCTAAATTCCTACACCGCACCACACGCCACAGAGAGAAGTTTTACCTCCACCATCTGGACGCTTAGCATTCTAGCACTATGCGTTACGCGCATTGCTTTTTCTTGCGTTAGTACGCACGCAGTGCTGGCTAGTACCAGATCTGGAACGGGCTTCCCTCAGAGGTTTTCCCTTAAGCTATAATATGATGATCTTCAAAAGGCAGGTAAACCTTTTCCATCAGTATTGTTGCAAGTGTCCTTGGGAGCCAGTGACCACTTACCATCAAGAGATTGTGGTGTTTGTCACTACATGGCCGGTGTTAAAAACTGTGCAAATGACACGAGATCCACACTTAAGAAACATGAGTGTCGTACTTTTTTTTTGAGTGTATATGCTGTTGGTCGCATATGACCTTTACAGCGTCACCGGGTATGGGGACGACGAGATCCTAAGGGGACCTCAAGCCGAGAATTGGCGAATGCCTCTAGAGGTATTCCAGGCGGATGGCGTCTCCCCACGGGGGGAGTCTCCTCTCCGTCTTGAGCCTCTAGACCACTTGAACCTGAGGGGATTGGCTCAACTAAAAGGCGTCTCTGAGACTCGGACCTCGGCTCTAGTTAGCCGTTGTCGTGGGGGACGGGGAAAAAACGCCCAGGTACGTACTTGTACTTGGTATAGCGTGTCGTGTGTAAACCGGGTCTTCGCACTCTTATCCTACGGGTGCGGTGTCTCGGATTATTTATTTATTTGTATTATTGAGGTTTTTTTAAATTATGCTTTCACTATAAAATTAAATAAAACAATTAAATATAGTTTAAGCGTAAAGCGATGCAAAGTATACGAACAACATACTTCAGGTTGATTTAATTACTGAAATCGCTTAAAATAGTAGGCTCAGAAGACATGACGCTAAGCCACAATAAAAAAATGTGATTACCCAAGTGTGTTTCATTAATTTTAAGTTTTTAATTCCAGACTTAGCCCGTATTACTGAATGATAACTAAGTGTTGATCTTTACTTGAGTACAGTTAGTTAGTTTTTTAACTATGCTCAAGACTGAGAATCTTTCTGTAATACAGGCCTTAGACAACCCTCCTCAGTTATTTGATAAATCCGTTAAGATTAATTTATTTGCATTTCCTATAATGAAAACTATAGACGCTAAAGAATTCCTTCAAGAAATATTCCGTGTATGTAATGGTAAAGGAGTTATTTTTCCCACTTTACCTACATGACTTTACCACGTACCTACATGACTATCGACCGCGCACCGATATTTACCCTGAAATAGTTTTTTTTTAAATAATTCATTTACTGACTTTGTTCGAAAATTCAAAATTACGGGCCACACAACAGAACGTGCGGTAAAACATTTTACCGTGTGAAGCCTATACGGTTTTTTTTTCGGAAAAACCTCATTGGGAGCGCTTTTTACCGTTGTTTCACTTTACTGTGAAGGCAATTGGAAATGCGCGCCATTGTCTTTTTAATAAAAGTTTACTTCATTACTTGAGCTAAGTGTTTGTACGTACTGTTTTCTCGAAAGTGTTGAAAAACGTTGTATGACATTCGTGCGGAATTGGTTTTTACAACGAAATAATTTTAAGCCTTTTATTTAAGGAGGAAGATGCATATAAGCCTTTTATGTTTCCTGTTACCTCCGAGTTATTATTAATTATAACGTTTCATTTAATGAGGTGAATTTACGTACTTAGTTAAGCCTCACTAAATGAGGATCATTTCACCACTTGTTCACCAGTGGGCGCCTTAGTGTTCATGGAATGATCGTGGAGTTTTTTTAAAGATTATAATATGTTAAGAATTTAATGTTTCGTTTAAATGAAAGAGCTTTTTATGTAGTTTTAGTAAAAGCGGATATTTTGATTATTACTACTCTAGTTTAAGTTATATTTAGTGTCTTGTATGAGATCTACGTTCCTATCTGTCATCCTGCTCAAGTAAAAAATTGAAATAGAGCTATTGTGAAATAAGGTGTTACCTAATGTATAAATTTGAGAAATTAAATAATAAATGTCTTTAAAATAACTCTTTGTATTATTTCGATTTTTTTGTAAAATACAATTAATTAAAAAGTTAGTTGTTAATTTTATAATTTATAAAAGAATTCCCTCGACTGGGAATTAAACCTGGACCCTCCGGGCGGTGCACGAGCTCTCTACTACTGAACCATCGATGCTTGCTGATAAGATTTGAATTTTTAATAAAAATTTAAAATGTAAAGCGACATGCTATTAAGATGAACGAGAAAATTTGTGGCGATGTAATGAAAGTTTTACTATAAGTGCTGAGCTACTGATGCCTCCTCTGCACGTCCGCAGACTTAGACAGGTGTAACATCAGATGGATCACCACGAGCCGACCACACGTCTGACGACATCTGTAGGTCATTTAGTCTGTGTTCATACTCGACAGACGCAACTTGCACACAACATTAAAAAAAAAGTTGAGATCGTAGCTGCAATTTATTTATTTAGTACTTTTAACTACTACTTGAGGTAAATCGTAGTAGAATTATCAAAACGAAATGGAAAATAAGAGGGTGGTGGCTGCTGGCTAGCTTTCGGATTCGACAGTTAGTTTTCTGTTTAAACACAAAGAAATGAATATAAATGTTTCGTTGTTCCTCATTATATTAGCCATTTTGTCGAACGACAGTAATAAACAAGAAAAAAATAATTGCAAACTCACATCCACTCTCATTCGCAACTCTAGTACTACTGATGCGTCGTAAGACGTGTGGCTAGCCACGCGCCGGACGTCCGCGCTGAATCCCTTTGTTGCGTGACACAAAATCCGACAGCTAACGATTAATGGCAGACGTATCTGCGGACGTTTAATACCTTCCCCCGTCTACACGTCGGCGGACGCATCTGAAGATGGCACATCTGCGGATGCATCTGTCGACGTGTAGAGGAGGCATGAGAGAGTTGCATGCAAGTGTCTATTGTCTCGGATAAAACGGGTGCGAACTTGCAAAGGCTGGGCTGTAGTAAAATAACACTAACCTTTGGAGGTGCTCATTTACTGTAGGCTAGTAAGGTTCCAGGACTACACGATTGGGGACTGTGTCCAGAGAGGCGGCTCTACCTATTGTGCAGGGTGTGCGTTGCCGAGCCTCCTCTTCACCATTACATTTTGACAGCTGCTTACTAAAGGGCGCTAAATTAATGAATGCACACACATAACACCGAAAGAGGTTAGAAGTGCCTTGTTGGAGGGGCAGGCGCGCCACAGTTATGTTTGAGCAATTGCCGAAACTTGGTTCTGATTGCGTTGTCTTTCGGGTGCGAACGTTGATTGGTTTGATTGTTTGATGTCGCGTCGTTTGATTGGCAATTATCTATTAGGCAGAAGTGTAGTGGGTGCCAGCCAGCGACATCGGTTCCCGTACAAACGGTCTACGATAACCCTTCTAATCTCTTTCTGTATTCTGTGAATGCACATGAGCGCTACAAGAGCTAGAGACGCCTTTGGGTTCAGACTGGTAAAGTAAGGTTGGTTGGAGCTGCAAATGTTTCTGCCTCAGCAAGAATATATTAATTACCCTACCCTACCGGAGATAATATCAGGTAGGGTGGGGTAATTTACTGAGCGTTTTATAAAAAGGAACATTCCTAACACTTTGAATATAGCCCTAGAAATAAACATATGCCACCATTGTTTAATGTCTTAACTCAACTCCATGCTAATGAGTGATCGGTTACCAATATCTAAGTTCTATAAAGAGTTAATTTGCCTTTCAGAAGCCTTCATAATTCCCTCAAAGTTCAAGAGAGCTAAAAGTAAGGGTAACGGTATGCTGCTCTACAAAGGGTATACGTATTCCTGGAGAAATCGCAAGAAACGTGGCAACTATTGGACTTGTTCGAGCCACCAGAAAAAAGGCTGTTCCGCCAGTGTCAGTACAGATGAATCAAAGAAGCCGTTTATTATCACACATGCATATGACTTCCACACTCACCCTCCAGTGGGGAAATCAGTTTATCGTTTAGAAGATATAGAATTCGAATAATGAATGAATAAATCTAAAAAAAACTAACAAATTCACTGTTTACATATTCGTTGTTTTTCACGGAACGGAACTAACAAAAATTTTGTTGATCTTTTGGAATTATTAATGTAGAAGATCGAATGAGATCTTTGTTTCAATTTACTTTCTGCACGATTTTTTAATCACCCTATGGATTCATCTCGCTCTAAGAAAAGAAACATGTTCGCTTACGTCATCACAATATTGTTTAATTATGTTAACTCACAAATATTGGTTGAGTAAATCACAAACCTTCACTTAGATGTGATCTGTGCTAACCATGAACTACTAATACAATTAAAATCAGCAGTCGAAATGGGATCCTCCCTACAATAGGGGTGATGACGGGGTACAGTAAACGAAATTCTATTTAGTCCGTCAGTAAGATGATTAAAAAATAATGGAAATGTATTTTTTTCTTTGGGCAATCAACCAAAAAATGACAATGTTACAGCACGTCAAAGTTTGGGAGTAGTGGCTCGTGACGTCACTTTTAAGTGAAAATTGTACCAAAACGTGATGTCATGCGACTTTTCAAATCAATATATCTCTGCAATGTTTATATTATGTGAAAAAAGAAAAAAATAAGTGTCCAATACTTTTTGATAATCTACCTGATAAACGAAGAAAAAAAATTGTCATCATCCCTATTCCTATATTGATGTCTCACTCAAATCGCGTTAAGAATTCGTAGTGAGGATACTGTGGTTTAAACTGTTACTACATTTGATAAGTCTGTTTTTTTTTCATTAATCATTCATATGTTATTAATAGACTTCAGTGGTTCGCCGTCAAGATCACATTTAATTACATTAGGTACTCGTAGTAGCACGCCTGTGTATTGCCATCATACACATTTTAGAGTAAACTAAGTAAATGTGAGTAAATGAGCTAGACTCATACCGTGAACAGTAAAATATTTTACTAGCGTAACTGCCACTGTCACACTGGTTGCTCCCAACTTTGAATCAAAGCTCCCAAAGTCGAATGGAATTATAGTACTTTATGTACTGTACATGAATAAGTTAATTCATTCTCTGCATTTTATGGACTCATTTTACTATAAGAGAATATCCTCATATATGTACATCTTCAGCACATAGGCGTGATATTTCATGTAATGAAATGTAAACTCTTCCCTGCGAAGTTCGTATTAAGTTTGTTTGACTTTCTATTATTGCTTAAAAGGAAGTTGTACGTTAAAATACCTCTTTTGGTTAACCTAAAAAGAGTATTACTATAAATATTTTTTTGTTATTATAAATGAGTGCGAATTACGAACGTTATATTAAATACCTTCTAAATACTTATACTGATCAGTTATTTTTCAAGTTTTACAATAAAGTTTCTATATATTTTATAATGGTTTCACTCAAATAATAAATATATGAATTCTGAAAATATTTATACAATTATTTTCAATATACTTATTACTTAGCTCTTATATTTATGATTGCAGAAATTAATTTTATAATGTCAAAGAGAGGTAACAAGTTACTCGTATACGAACAATATACCTACGCAAAGAACTGCAGAAGCAAGAACAGAGTAACTTGGGCGTGCTCCTCGCGGTGTTCAAAGAAGTGTAACGCCCAAGTAGCGCTGACAAATAATGGAGAGCTGTTCGTCATCAACAAAGAACATAGTCATCCTCCTCCGATATTCTATGTCAATGAAAAAGGCGACTACGTTAGAGTAACTGACAAACAGCTGAAGAATATAGCAAAACTTGAAAACGAGACGCATGATTTAGACGTCATAGATGAAGATTTTTAACCTGATTTTATGAACAAGATTATGTTATTATTGTATTTATTTTGAAATAGATTTTTAAGGTTTGTGATTATGTATCTGTAGGTACAAATAAAGTGTAAACGAGGTTTTTTTTATTGCATTTAAAAGATTTGTCAAGAGTGCTTTGATTTTCGACGCTGTTTTGTTCTGGTAATTTTGACTGGATTATATGCTAAGATGAAATTGATGACGTATTAGTACTAATTGAAAAGCTGTATTTCTTTAATGAATACAATTATAGAAATATGCCAAAATTTTAATGAAAGTATTAAAAAAAACAGTTAATCGTTGAATGGGATCACTGTTTCTGCTGCCCATAACTTATTGATACTGTCGATTTAAAAAAAATGGCAATATAATAACAATGAACATAAAAAGTGTTTCTCTAAATTATATTATTTTGAATAAAAAAAAACTGAATCCAGTGTTATTTTGCATAACCATACACTACTACGAGTTCGCGTTGATTCCCTGACAATAACTAAGTCATCAATAATTTGTAATCTTAAATATTCCCCTCTGTCTCTCGTAACTTCATTACAGATCCCTTATTGCAAGTGATGAAAATTGTTCCTAGAAGACAGTATTTGCTTGAAAAAAAAAAGATTGGATGCAAAAGCTAAGAGAGACGCGATAAAATCAGACCCAATGGCCTATGCAGAGTATAAAGCGGCAGAGAAACAAAGATACAAAAGAAGGATGGAGGAAAAGAAAATTTTACAAATAAATGATATGACGCCAAGACAACAGAGAATTCAAAGAAATAAATGGAAACAATACCAGAAAAGGCGTAGATAGAGTATAAAGAAAACAATATAAAATTGAAATTATTGTTGAAACTAAAGTAGAAACTTATTCCTAAATAAATGAATGGACACAAAGTATTCTTAAATAATAATAACTTTATTTGGAACGAGTTCATTGTCCATGGAAAGTTAATTCTGTTATAGTTTTACAAAACTGTGTTTTCAGAATTAACGCCCAATAAGATGTTATAAGATTAATTATTATGGAATATATTTGTAAAACGGTCGCTGTCATTAATATTGTTTGCGACATTTTAATGCATACGTTGAGATTTAAATTTAATTTCTATTTCAACATCAATTGTCAATTCTATATGAAAGAAGTGCTATACCAAAGACGAGCAAGCACTAATCAGTATTTAAAAGTTGGAGATATCGTAGTTATCGTATTCAATATCACAGAGTCACTTAACATACTTATAAGTTTGTTTACAAACAATAATTTGATATAATCGCACAGTTTCAACTTTAACTATTTCTTCTCCGTTAACTATGTTATTAACGATATTATATAAGTAAGTATAATATTAAGGGTCATAAAATTTGTATAGGAACTAGAATTTATTGAAGTACCTACCTAAGTATTGCAGAGTTTAATTTTGTTATTATGTAAGGACATAGTATATATATAGACATAACACAAAAATCTGCCAATGAAATGACTTATTAAATAAAATACATTTTTGAAAGATAACCAAATTTTGAAACATCCTACAAATTTAATAAAAGAAAATATCTATTATTAAGTTGAAATTGAAATCAAACACTCTGCTCATGGAAACAGCGCACTACAAAAATCTAAATTTAAGAAATGAGCAAATATGAAAACTACTTGGTAAATTAAATTTTATTTTGCAGTTCCGGTACTTATCAAGGTGAAGAGAGGGCGGTACATGTTACTGTACCAGAACTACACGTACACGAGAGTTACAAAGTCGAAGATGGGCACTGTGTGGAAGTGCACGTCGAGTAAGACGGACGAATGTAGGGCTACCGTTACCACAGATGAGTTTTTGAACGTGGTGGCAACTAAACGGAAGCATACGCACGGACGCAACTCTATGGTGACGGATAAGCCGAAGCACGTTTATTTTACTACTGTTTGATACTACGGACTATACGTTTCTTTACTCATGTGTTTATACTATAAGTTATGGGCCACTTGCATCAACATTCTTAATTGAAATGAAGGGGTAATCCTGTTTAACACATAATTCTGTCATTGTCAATTCTTAAAAATCAAATAGAGCTAGAATGAAAGCCACATTTTAGGAGATTTTAGAAATTTGGTGCTAGTGGGCCTAATAGACATGTAACTTATTGTGTCTCATCGTCCGATGAGGAATACCAACGCGTACAAAGAAATTTGGTGACTCATTTCTTTGACGCACTATCCGTAAATGGAATGCTCTGCCTGCTCACGTGTTCCCTCCTTCTTACTACCTGGGATCCTTTAAAAGAGGCGTAAAGAACATACATGCAGGCCGGCAAGGTGAGGATGGCTGGTGTGGCAGGTAGAACTGTTGTACCAGCTATCTTTACATCTGAACTTTATCGTCACTTAACATCATGTGGGGTGGAGTCATTTGTCGGACATATCTATAAAAAAAAGTTTGTTCGTGATAACTAATCGCATCGCTGCCTGTTTTTTCATACCATCGACGACAGCTCTGTTTTCACTGGTTTGTAACAACGATGCAGGCTCATCAAATCTGTTTTTTGAAGATATCTTTTATATGTAGTTTGTAGCTCTACTAGCTTCTCACTAATAGTGTCCCACGCTGGACTGGTGCCAAAAGAAAAATATGTACCTAATAAATCAACTGGTTACTTCCCTATGAAGGAATCAAAATCCTACCTCTGATGCTCTACATACCAGCTTTGCGTTATATTTTATTAAAGGTGTTTGCATGGTGTCCATTAGACGCTCATGCAGCTGTCAGTCAATTCCACCAACCGATAGAGAAAACGGCTAGCGACTTAAAATGACACCAGTCAAACCATTACAAGACAGGTCAGTCATAACCTTGACTGACAGCAACCGTCTTATGGTCGCTTATGTGTCTGCTTATCGTTGGAGGTATTACAGGTGCCTCAGATAATAGCGCTAAGTAAAGCGGGAGCACGGTCTTCCGTCGCATCGTCGTTAGTCTATGAAATACCACGAAGTAAACACGTAGAGTGGATGTCCAATCCGTGCTCCAGCTTTAAGCGCAGGCCCTTAGGCTAAGAACTTAAGCGATTTTCTCCCGCGCCCGCCGCGGCTCTAGTACCGCAACTCGAGTAGAATGTGAATTTTTAGGTAAAACGCAAATTCAAAACTCATAGTACGATTTGCTGCTGTGCTGTGCTGCGGGCGATCACCCGCAGAAGCGGCGGGTT